AAAAACACACACACACAATAATAATAATAATTAAAACATTAAGCATAGAACATTCATACAATTTTACCAAAAAATTCTGTCTTACAATTATGACATATTGATATAGCAAAATATTTAAGGGCTAATTACCGAAGTTTCCTTCTTTGGTCTTTTGTGCAATGAGCCTCCTAGATGAGTTTCATCTTGTAATGCTATGAAAGAATGATGCTTTTTTCTTAAAAAAAAAATACAAAATATAATTTTTCATTTCATCTCTTCTTTAAAACTATTTATATTAAAATAAATTTAATTTTATTTTTAAAAAAACTTTTTTTTATTATTTATTTTTCAAAAATTTACATAGATAACTCAATTATATTCCTATAAAAAACATTCAATTATATTTTATTTTGAAAAAACTAATATCAAATACATAAAGTCATAAATTTTTATATTTATTTTATAAGATTTATTAGTATTTATATTAAACAAATTAATATAATATGTGGGGGTGGGAGTTTGAACTCATACTCATGACCTCTTGGTCAAAGATAGGTGTCATTACCACTTGAGCTATGTTCATATAGTCACAATTTAACAAAAAATCAACAACATGATTTATTTTTAATGTCAATTAACATCAACATATTCATGATATAGAAATTGCTAATAGTATAAGCATAAGATTATACATCAGATTGCAAAAAATTATGAAAAAAATGAATTAATATGATTTGAACGTCAATCCGAGCATAGCTCAAAATAAAGTATTTATTATCATTTCAAAGTTTGATGGTTCAATCATCGTCTCTAAAATTATTTGACTAAAAAAAGTGATTTCAACCGTTAGAGAAGTGTGAAACAAATTGAAGAGAAAATTTTGTTAGAAAATTTATGAAATAATGTTAGAATGAAAAGAAAAAAAGAATAATGTCACTGTATTGTTTAAAATGGAGTAAGGAAAGCAAAACAATCGCATCAATAAGTTTTCAAACATTCATGAATCAATGTAATTTATTTAGATCAGAATTATTCAATTGAAAATATTCTTTATTAAACTAAGACTCTTTTTATGATGAAACAAGGCTGCCACAATGTGGTTGTCGTTTAAATAACCGCTCAATACAAATTCAAATACATTTCATTATTTCAACATTATGAAATTCAAGAGGCAACCTTTTTACATGAGATTTGTAGTCCCCATCGAGAACTCCATAAATGAACGTAAGGTAAGATAACGAGACAACCAAGTTGGAGGTTCCGATGTATACTCATATTCATATTCACAACTCGCAAACAAGTCGAATGCTTCAGTCATTGTCATACTCAACTCTATATCATGTTTCTTTAACAATGCTTCTAAGGATGATGTCAGAACATCTATTCCCCTTCCGTACACATCTATGCCCTTTCCGTACACATCTATGTTCCATTTATAGCTCTCTTAAATATATATACTTTTTAAATTTTTATAAAATATATATTCTAATTATCAATATTCATGGAATTCCATAAATAACATCAATCGACAGACAGCGACATCGTTTCTGACGCGAATCCAAGTCTACCACGACGTCTATTTCTCTCTCATGGTTGCACACGGTAATATCCCTTACTATTGCCAACTTTTATAAAATATATATTCTAATTATCAATATTCATGGAAATCCATAAATAGCATCAATTTCTACACACGGTGACATCGTCTTTCTGTCTACCCACGATGTCTATTTCTCTCTCGAAGTTGCACACCGAAATATCTCTCGCGATTGCGCACCAAAATATCCTCCATTTCTCCCCCTTAGAATTTCACAGCATAATGGTAATGAGTAGCCCCTAGAGAAAAAACCTGCAACCTTCTTCTCTTTCGTAGAGGCTTGAATAAGATGGGTTGGTTCATTTGGACCAACCAAACCAATAAGGAATTAAGGGAATTGGCTGGAAACATGATATTTGGGCCTCAATTATTTCGAAATTGGCCAAACAAGGAGACATGCAACAAGCTTAATAATAAGGGCTAAAATGTGGGTATTTTTTTCTAATAAGCCAAGTAATAAATCAAATAACAAATAAATTATTAGTAGTGTAATTAACTCTAACGATTTTCACCTTAACTTTATACTAATTATGAAAAATGAGTATGGAACCGGTTGCTCCAAATGTTCTAGAATTCTACCCCGGTTCAAGCTACAACATTCTCACACCCTTGATATAGTAGATATGTTTTTAACCGAAACTAAACAATTGTGAACACTCTCCATCAATAAGTGTTCAAATATCATGAATCAATGTATTTTATTTAGACGACGATTATTCAAATGAAAATATCCTATATTGAATGAAGGCTTTTTGTGATGAACACTGTTGAATGTGACTGCCACAATGTGGTTGTCCCTTCAATAACCGTTCAATACAAATTGAAATACATTTCATTATTTCAACATTATCAAACACAAGAGGCAACCTTATTACATTCTATGAGATTTGCAGCCCCCATTGAAAGCACCATAAGTGAACGTAAGGTAAGATAACGTGACAACCAAGCCGGAGGTTCTGGTGTATACTCGTATTCATTTTCACAAAGCACAAACATGTCATACGCTAAGGTCATTGACGAACTCCAACCTATATCGCGTTTCTTTAACACTGCTTCTAAGGATGATGTCAGAACATTTATGCCACTCCCGTAAAAATCTACACAACCGTTTAAGATTTGTTGTGTTATATTGTCTAAGTTTGGTCTCTTGAACTGCTCCACAAGGTACAAATTATTGTCGGTGGCATTGGCAATAGAATGGTTTATAAAGATGGCTAAGAGTCCGGATAGGTCTAATTTCAAGTCTTGGCGAGGATCTGAATCTACCACGGCAATGCATAATTTGCACAATTCTTCATGTTTCTTACAAGTATCTTTAACAAAATCATTCGAGACTGCAATTGAGTCAGTTTGAGCGATGAAACACAAACTACTAAAGCTAGTAATGAACTTTGCGAATAAAAGGAAACCTAATTAACATTTTAAAACACAATTTGGATTATCTCAAGTCATACGTTACACCTACCGTTCCCCATACATTGGTTAGCTTGATATATTACCATAAAAGGTGGACTTTGTTTTTTTTAACAAAAAATTTGGATTTGAGTCTACAAATTCAAAGAAATAAGTAGGTGTCTTACCTGCTAACTATATTATATTCACTCTAAGGCAAACCTTATACCAAATTGTCATAAGTTTATAATTATATATGTATGTTGTGTGTGTGGGTTTTTTTTTTAATATTACTGTAAATGAAACTTATTTTAAAAATATAGTTGTTTAATTAAAAATATTGTAGATTTTGAAACTTATTTTAAAAATATTGTAGTTTTAAAAAACTGAAGGTTGGTAGACGAACATTTAGACGTGTGGCGCCACGTAAACTTTTTTTTAAAATTTGAACGTCCATGTGGGATAGAGACGACCATCCGGTCGGTTCATTTGTGGAAAAAAAAAGTATAGTGTTTTATATTATATATTATTTAGTAGCTTTAATTTAAAAGATTTCTTAGTAGTATAGTGGGTTTATTGTTGCTTGATATCTCTTCCATTCTAAGTTTGAATCTTGGGTCACGCATCTTTCTTTTTTATAACCATTAATCATCTTTTTCTGATACATTTATTATTATCACTATCATTTTATAACCATTAATCATCTTTTTTTTAATATATATTATTATTTATTTAATAATAATAATACATTTATTATTATCACTATCATTGTATTTTCTTTTATTTTATATATTCTTATTTATATTTTATATTACTATTTATTTTTCTCTTTTTTACTTAATATTACCCTTTCCATTCAAACTTCTTTTTTTATACATTATTATTTCTATTCTATATATTATTATTCTTTTAATAATAATAATAAAGTTATTACTATTATTGTATTTTCTTATATTTTATATATTATTGTTTATATTTTATATACTATTATTTATATTAAGTAAAAAAGAGAAAAGAGATGATTATTAATGGTTATAAAAAGAAAAATGTGTGACCCAAGATTTAAACTTGCGATGGAAGAGATATTAAGCAACAGTACACCTACTACACCACTAAAGAATCTTTTGAATTAAAACTATTGAATAATATATAATATAAAACATTATACTTTTTTTTCCAGAAATGAACCGACGACATGGGTCGTCTCTAACGTTCAAATTAAAAAAAAAAATAACGTCTCTAAATGGTTGTCTCTTGGCGAGACGACCAACCTTCAGTTTTTTAAAACTACAATATTTTTAAAATCCAAAATCTACAATATTTTTAATTAAATAACTATATTTTTAAAATAAGTTTCATTTACAACAATATTAAAAAAAAAACCGTGTGTCTGTGTGGCCAAGACATTATACATTTGTCAGATGTTCGCATTCTAATAATCTCACATTATTTTTATATATTGTTTGTTTTTTTTTATATTGAAAATGTGTATATAGATCTGTTTCCTACCTTTTGATTTTACTAATTTCCCTGTTGTTTGTATAGTTTTAAAAAATATCAATAAAAAAGAAGGGAGCACGCGTGAACCAAACTCTAGATGTTGGTCTTGGAACAAGAACGCATGTGGAGTGATAAACCAACATCAATCCCTTATTCTCAGTTTGAATTTTTAATTAATATGAGATTCTTGTTGTTTCTATTTCACAGACTTGAATTATTAGAAACTAGATTTCAACATACGTGTGGCAGGAGATAAGTGGATATAGAATATATGGGGTGAGGGTTTAAACTCATGATCTCTTGATCAGAGGTAGGTGTCGTAACTACTTGAACTAGGTTCAGATTGACCTCTAATATGCGAACTTAATCATAATCACTGACTATTTTTTTTCTTTTTTAAATAAGATTTTTAGGTGAGTTGTTTGATTGGAAAACACTAATTTAATTGCTTAATTGCATTTGAATGAAAGATTTTTTTTAATTTTATGTAAATTTAAAAATCGATTTTTATTTTTCAAAATCTCATTTTTTCTTCGAATACTCAACCCTTTTTTTCTTTTCACATATTTATCTCTAACAAGTTTTCTTCTCGGTCTAAAAAAAATTTCTTCATAAATATCTCTCTAAAAATTTATTTTTTCTCTCTAAAATTTTAAATATTTATTATTATTTTTCTCCCACCAAATTTTTTTATCTTTATATATATATATTTTATCTTTTTATCATAACATATCACACTATCTCTTTCTAAAAATTTATTATTTTCCCAAATTTTTCTCATTCTAAAATTTCGTTTTTATAATTTTCTTCCAAAATATGTTAAAAAATAGAAAGAATCCTTAGTTCCATTCCACACTATTGTCATCTCTACTTTATATAGAATTTTCTCTTAATACATATTTTCAATTTTCTAACTTTTAAAAAATAAAAAACATAAAATGGTTATGAAACAGGACATGTTTGATTTTTTGTTTTTTAAAAACAAAAAATAGTTATCAAGCATATATAATTTTTGTTTTTGAAAAACGGAGAACAAAAAAATAAAAAAGTCCTAATTTTCTTTTTCTTTTTTCTTTTAAAAGGAATGTACCATTTGAAAACACCACTCCAAATGGGATAAGTAGACTACATACAAGATAACTAAAAAAAACAACAAATAAACAACCTCCTTACGCAAAAGAAATAACTAAGATTTAGTGATTTGTATATATATATATATATATACACACTTTTTCACCCCCTGAAAGTTGTAGGATTGGAATTGCTCCGCCAACTCAAAATTTGATAAATATATTAAATACAAAATAATCATAAGACTAAGATAGGTTTTTCTCTTTTTAGTTTATTAAAAGAGTGCGTACTTTTTTTAACACAACAAATAGGGGTGAAAATTCGAATTCATCCCCTCTTGATCACAGACGTATGCCAATTAACAAAGTTCATGTTGGCAAAAGAAAATGTGTATTGTTGGAACTACACAAACTACCAACTCGAAGTAGGATAAAGTGATCTCTTCATTATTTATGAATGATTTTGCTACTGATTCTCCGCTGCCAAAAATGTCGTAGGTACGATTTAAAAAGACAAGATTAGAGACAATGATAGGGAAATGAATGGAAAAATACTCAATAAAAACAATTTCTAATTAAAATTCTTTTGAACTCTAATCATTTTTTTATAGCAAATTGCATTGGATAGCTAGCTATATCTTTAACCATATTTGAAAAAATGTCACTTATTTTGTATTTTGTAAATATTACAAAATATTAGAATTTTTATTTGCTGAATTTTTATTATTATGATTTTACTCTTATGTCTGATTTATGATACACATCTGATATACGTATAATTTATTTTTTTTCCTACTAAATAGAGTACACTGCTATCGTCGATAACAATGGAGTAATTGTGACAAATTTTTTCCTTATTTACAATGTTTACGACTTTAATACTAACTCTCCTTTGAAAGATTAGTGAAAATTGAAGTGTTTTTTTTAAGAGGTGGAAATTCAATGCGTCCTATTTAGATTCCTCCGTAGTGAATTTTCAAAAATACAGCTTACCTGTTTGCATGTACTACTAGAATTTAGAGTTTCATGATGTTGATGATTGGTAAAAAAAGTTGGAAAAGATATATATCATAAATGTAAAAGGTGTATTGTTTGCTAGAAGGAAGGAAATTTTTTTTTGTAGTTTTTCGTGACGTTTTTTCAACGTCATAAAAGATAGAAAATAACGTTTGCTAGGTTAAAAAAAAAAAAGGAGATTTTTCTTCTTTCTTAGTTTTTTGTTTTAAAAGGAGTGTGCGGTTGTAAAGCACCCAACTCCAAATGGAACCACATACAAAATAATCAATAAAACCAATTCTGTACACCAACCAGTTATATATTAAGATTGGATATTTAATTTTCTGTTTAATTTCTTTTTATTTTTGTTTCTAGAAGGGGTGTAACGTTGGAAATTGCCCAACGGCCAACTCAATATTTGATAGACATTTACAAATAATTATAAGACCAATTGGAATAATAATGACTCAATTGGAAATGGAAGTAATTTCCAATGTGAATATATATATATTTGAAAAATTAAATACTTTTTAATAGTTGAGTCGTGCAAGCTATTTCTCCCCCCTCCCCCTATAAATTTGGCTTTCAATTGAGTCAAACAACCACAGATCTCCCTTGCTCCATAGCTTCTTAACTTGTTTCACCAACTTTTAAAACGGCATCCGCTCAGTATATTGCATGCTTTTTTGCTGTGTCATTGATCATCGACCTTTTTATACCTGTTTGTAGCATTGTTTTCAATGCTACTGTCTCTTTAGATGGCAGTGGAGACTTCAAAAGCATTGGTGCTGCTATTTCAGCTGCACCCGACAACAGTAATTCTAGATTCTACATTCGTATAAAATCTGGTACATACAATGAGCATATTGAAGTTGAAAGTCAAAAGACTTTCATAACGTTAATAGGTGATAATGCAGCTACTACTGTCATTGTTGATAATCGAAGCAATGGCACTGGTTTTGGAACCAGCCAATCAGCCACTTTCGGTAAGTTGGAGCTAGAGCTATATAAACTTTTTCTTTCCTCTTTCTTCTTCTATCATTCCTTTCAAATATATTAACTGTCGTTGAAACTGTTAACATTTCTTTGCAGCTGTGAGGGGTAACAACTTTATGGCAAAGTCCATAACATTTGAAAATTCTGCTGGACCTAATAATGGTCAAGCAGTTGCTCTTTTAAATGACCAAGCCAACTACATCACATTTTATCGGTGCGTATTTCTTGGATACCAGGACACAATTTTCATAAATGGAAACCATTTATTTTTCAAAGATTGTGAAATCTGTGGGACTGTGGATTTCATTTTCGGAGATGGACTTGCAGTGTTTCAAGATTGCAAGATATACGCACGATCATCAAATAATACTATTACTGTTACCGCACAATCAAAAGATTCAAAGGACCAAAAGAGTGGCTTCTCATTTCAAAACTGCAGTGTAATGGCCTCTCCTGAACTTGGGTCAAGAAAATAAAGGTTAGTTTATCTTGGTCGGCCCTGGAGAGATTACTCGACAGTAATTTTCATGCAGTCATTTTTAGATTCTTTGGTCAATCCAAAGGGATGGTCGCCATGGTCGTCGGATAGGCCTCTAGACTTATTATTTTATGCAGAGTTTAACAACAGGGGTCTAAGAGCTAATATCTCTGGAAGAATCAAATGGCCGGGTTACCATATAATAAAGAATCCACAGGAAGCCCTTGAATATACTGTGAAAACTTTTATTAATGGAACTATATGGCTACCACAGACGGGTGTACCAGTCAGACAAGAGTTATATGGCTACCACAGACGGGTGTACCAGTCAGACCAGAGTTATAATATCAATTGTGCGGTTATATGTATTTCTAATTTTATTTTGCCATCTATGTTTATGAGATACAATATATAGAAACTATATTTAGTCCATCCAAAAGTTAGTATAAAATACAATTAGACTGTTATCTTATTGTATTTGTCCTATAATTGGTGGACGCTTGGAGGGTTTGTTCTATTTTGTTGGGTGTGAAGAAATATCAAAATTAAACAAAAACTTTTTTTTTTTCTCTAAACTTTCTTCCATTCTGTGTAGTTTTAATAATCACTTTAATTTTGTGTATCAAAGTAAAGAAATATTCATTGATAAAATTGGAAAGAAAATCACCATTTCACCAAATAAACAACAAATGTTTTCCTTAAACACATATACTAAAGTTTATTAAGATTAAACGTCCAATTAGAGCTATCTAATCAATCTAATCAGACCTAAACTCATTTTGAGGCAATTATTGGGACCGGTAAGGTAATACCTGTGGTTGAAAGATTCAACTAAGTTCAATCATTATTTAGAATTATTTTTCAAATTAAATGTGGTTGACTAAAGTATCTATTTTAAAATCAGACTAAAACGTCACAAAACTCAGTATATTTTCTACTAAACAATTACTTTGAGATAACTTATGCAATTTTGTCCAAAAACTCATAATAATAATAATAATAAAAAAAAGACAGAGTATCTAGGTAACAAAAGTTTAAAGTATTACCATGCTTTTAAAGTTTTTTTTTTTCTTTTTTTAGTACTTTTAAAGTTTCTTTTGATGTATCACGATTAACTTTTAATTATTTTAAGGGACGAATTAAGTTAGGTTCAATTATCCACGTGTACAATTAAATTCTATTTCAATGGCTTAAAAATCATTTAAAAAAAAGGAAGAAATTCAATGGCTCAAATAACTCATGTTTGATCAATATAACGGCTTGAATAGCCTTGATTAAGTGTTTTTATTAATTGTTAAATTTTGGTTTCCTCCCTATTTAGTTCTTCAATTGTATTCCTATAAAAAAAAAACCTTCCCTTATATTTTATTTTGAACAAAACTAATATCAAAATATGTATGCATAAAGTCATAAATTTTTATAATTATATAATAAGATTTTTTAGTATTTATATTAAACAAACTAATATGATACATAACAAACAACCTTTATTTTATGAGATCAACATTGTGTAAGGGTGAGAATTTAAATCTCCGATTTTCTGGTCGAAAATATATATCTTAATTAACTAGTAATTGAGTTATGTTTTAGTTGATTACAAACCACCATTTTACCGTAGCTAGAAATCCAATCCTTGCAACATAGTATAAAAGAATAGGCCGTTAATTAATTGTATTTTACGTGACAACTTTTTGTTCGATAAATTCTATTTTTTAGATTATAAAAAAATTATATTTCTTTATATGGTCTCACAGAGGTTCCAAAATTAAATTACGTTGGGAACAATTTACGTGTTGCTTTCCTTCATGCTTTCACACTCTTAGTTCTATGCAAAATTCATGTTTTTTCAAAATTTTGAAAGAAGAAATAAGAACTATAGAGGAGAATATTAGATAATAAATAAATAAATGCTGTGAACTTTGACGATTGATTCTTCCGAAACATTTTAGTCACTAATTTTTTTTCCTTCTTTCATACACGTGGGTAGGAGTTCGAACTCTTGATAAGAAATAAATACTTTAACCACTTGAACTATTTTCGGTTGGACACATTTTAGTGACAATTTAACAAAAAATCAACAGCATGATTTATTTTTAATGTCAATTAACATCGACATATTCATGATATACAAGTTGCTAATAGTATAAGCATAAGATATACATAAGATGATTGCGAAAAATTATGAAAAAAAGGCATTAATATGATTTGAACGTCAATCCGAACATAGCTCAATAAATAAGGTACTTATTATCATTTCAAAGTTTGATGGTTCAAAGCTTGTCTCTAAAATTATTCGACTAAAAAAAGTGATTTCAACCATTAGAGAATTGTGAAACAAATTCAAGAAAAATTTGTTAGAAAAATTATGAAATAATGTTAGAACCAAAAGAAAAAATAATAATGTCACTATATTGTTTAAACGGGAAAGCAAAACAAACAAGAACACTCCCCATGAATCAATCTATTTTATTTATATGAAAATTTATTCAAATGAAAATATTCTGTATTAAACTAAGGCTCTTTTTGTGATGAAATAAGACTACCACAGTGTGGTTGTCCTTTAAATAACTGCTCAATACAAATTTAAATACATTTTATTATTTCGACATTATGGAACACAAGCGACGACTCTTTTACACTCTATGAGATTTGCAGTCCCCATTGAGAGCTCCATAAGTGAACGTAAGGTAAGATAACGAGACAACCAAGTTGGAGGTTCCGGTATATACTCATATTCATATTCACAACTCGCAAACAAGTCGAACGCGTCAGTCATTGTCATACTCAACTCTATATCATGTTTCTTTAACACTGTTTCTAAGGATGATGTTAGAACATCTATGCCCCTTCCGTACACATCTATGCATCTGTCGAAGATTTGTTGTGTTCTATTGTCTAAACCTGGTCTCTTGAACTGCTCCACAAGATACAAATTATCGTTGGTGGCATTGGCAATAGAATGGTTTATAAATATGGTTAAGAGCTCGAATAGGTCTAATTTCAAGTCTTGATGAGAATCTGAATCTACCACGGCAATGCATAATTTGTACAATTCTTCATGTTTCTTACACTGTCTTTAACAAAATCATTTGAGATTGCAATTGGGTCAGTTTGAGCGATGAAACACAAACTACTAAAAAAAAGTAAAAGAAGGATACCAGAGAGTTTTTCCACCATCATGTTCTGATGGATTTCTTTTCTTTTTTCAATTTCTCGTTTATAGCCCTTATTTGAGGTATAATGATATTTATATACTGGAATAACAATTCATGCTTTCTTAAAGAAAATATTGTTTGGAAAGCTAGTAATGAACTTTGCAAATAAAAGGAAACCTAATTAACATTTTAAAACAGAATTTGGATTATCTTAAGTCGGAAACGTTACACCCACCACCGTCATTTTAGAAATACATAGGTTAGATAGGTGACATTATACATCTGTCATAATTGTCAGATGTTCCATTCTAATAATCCAACATTATTTTTATTTAATGTTTGTTTTTTTTATATTGAAAATGTGTTTATATGATTTTACGAATTTTGTTGTTGTTTGTATATTTGAAAAAAAAAATATCAATAAAAAAAATAAAAAAGAATGGAGCACCCGTGAACCAAACTCTAGATGTTGGTCTTAGGGCAAGAACGCATGTAGAGTTTGTTGCACGTGCTCCTTAGTCCCAACGTAGACCCATCCTTATTCTCAGTTTGAATTTTTTTAATTAATATAAGATTCTTGTTGTATCTATTTCACAAACTTAATTATCAAAAATTATATTTAACATTAAAAAAAATGTAAACTCTTTTGCTTAGTGGTTTTTAAAATTTTCTATTAATTATTTAATGGCTAATAATGTCCTTCTTCGTGGTTGTAAAAAAAAAAAAGGAAAAAAAGAAAAAAATTCGCTTCTCCGTCCAGTTTGAATATTCAACTGTAACATGCGGACTTAATCATAATCACTTACTATTTTTTTTTTCTTTTTGAAATAAGATTTTTAGGTGAGTTGCTTCATTTGAAAATCGTAATTTAATTGTTTAATTGCATTTAAATGAAAGTATTTTTTTAATTCTATGTAAATTTAAATAAATAAATAAAAATTAAAAACCGAATTATGTTTTTCAAAATCTCATTTTGTTTTCTAATACTCAACTTTTTTTTCCTTTACATATTTATCTCTAATAATTTTTCTTCTCACACTATTTTTTTTTTCATAAATATCTCTCTAAAAATTTTATTTTCTTCTATATAAAATTTTAAAATTTTAAATATTTATTATTATTTTTTCGCTCCAAAATTTTTATCTTTATATTTATATATTTTTTTTCTTTTTGTCCTAACATATCACAAGGTCTCTTTCTAAAAATTTAATATTTTCTCTAACTTTTTTTTTAATTTTGTATTTTATAATTTTTCTTTCTCTTTCAAAATATGTTAAAAAAAAAAGGGAGAGCATCCTTACTTGGTGATCTTTAGTCTATATAGAATTCTGTCTCTAAAATATATTTTCAATTTTCTAACTTTTAAAAACCACAAAACTAAAGATATAACTAAACCCCTAACCTTTTTTTTAAAGAAGTGTACTGTTCGAAAATACTACGCAAACGAATTACTAAGATTGGATATATTTATTTAATTTTGTTTCTAGATAGTGTATTGTTGGAATTGCTACAACCGCGAACTCAAAATTGGATAAATATATTAAATACAAAATAATCATAACATTGAGATGTGAATTTCTTTTCAATTTCTTAATAGATGGTGTACTTTTTTTAATACAACAAATAGAGGTAAAGATTCGAATTCATAACCTCTTGATTGAGACATGACTGCATGGAAACTATTGTCGAATAACTACTTGCAAGACAAGTCTTGAATTCATTCTTAAATTTATTTTTCATCCTACAGTTTAAACAATTATATAATGCCTTCAAGACAAATAAACTTTCAAATTCATAGCCATTACAATTACATTTTAGTCACAATTTAACAAAAAAACAATGGCATGATTTATTTTTAATGTCAATTAGCATCAACATATATATAATTAATAGTTCATGATCTAAAAGTTGCTAATAGTATAAGCATAAGATTATACGTCAGATTGCAAAGAAGTTGTGAAAAAAAAAAAATAGTAATATGATTTCAATGTCAATCCGAGCATCACTCAATAAATAAGGTACTCTACTTATTACCATTTCAAAATTCGATGGTTCAGTCTTCATCTCTACAATTATTCGACTAAAAAAAAGTGATTTCAACTGTCAGAGAAGTAAAAACAAAGTCGAGAAATTTTGTTAGAACAATTAAAAGAAAAGAAAAAGAATAATGTCACTATATAGTTTAAAACGGAATAAGGAAAGTAAAACAATCTTGAACACTCTCCATCAATAAGTTTTCAAACATCATGAATCAATGTATTTTATTTAGATGAGGATTATTCCAAGGGAAAATCTTATATATTGAACGGAGGCCTTTTGTGATGAAACACTATTGAATAATGTGACTACCACAATGTGGTTGTCCTTTAAATAACCGCTCAATACAAATTGAAATACATTTCATTATTTCGACATTATGGAATACAAGCGGCGACCCTTTTACACTCTATGAGATTTGCAGTCCCCATTGAGAGCACCAGAAGTGGACGTAAGCAAAGATAACGAGACAACCAAGTCGGAGGTTCCGGTGTATACTCATACTCAAATTCACAACTCGAAAACAAGTCGAACGCTTTAGTCATTGCCGTACTCAACTCTATATCAAGTTTCTTTAACACTGGTTCTAAGGACGATGTCAGAACATCTATGCCCCTCCCGTACAAATCTATGCATCTGGTCAAGATTTGTTGTGTTCTATTGTCTAATCCTGGTCTCTTGAACTGCTCCACAAGATACAAATTATCGTCGGTGGCATTGGCAATAGAATGATTTATAAAGATGGCTAAGAGCCCGAATAGGTCTAATTTCAAGTCTTGTGAGGATCTGAATCTATCACATCAATGCATATTTTGCACAATTCTTCATGTTTCTTACCAGTGTTTTTAACAAAATCATTTGAGATTGCAATTTGATCCGTTTGAGCAATGAAACACAAACTACTAAAAAAAAGTAAAAGAAGGATACCAGAGAGTTTTTCCAGCATCATGTTCTTCTGATTGGTTTCTTTTCTTTTTTCAATTTCTCGTCTATAGCCCTATTATTTGAGGTATAATGATATTTATACACTTAACTATTCATGCTTTCTTTAAAGCTTTGTTTGGAAAGTTAGTAATCATCTTTGCAAATAAAAGAAACCTAATTAACATTTTTAAACAGAATTTGGATTATCTTAAGTCAATACGTTACTCTCTTTTTTTTCCTTTTTTTTTTGAAAATATTACATAGGCTAGGCTAGTTATGTTTGGATTTGAATCTACGACCTCAAAGAAATAAGTAGTTATCTTAAGTGATAAACTATGTCATGTTGACTATAAAAGGCAAATCTTATACCTAATTTCCATAAGTTATATATATATATATATATATTAATGAGCTTCGACATAATTATATATAATATATATATTAATGAGTGTATTTCAATTGGTCAAGATATTATACATATGTCGGGACATATTAGATGTTCGCATTCACATCCCCATGTTACTTTTTTTTTTTTTGCACATATATGGTTTGTTTTCATATAAATAATAACAAAAAACATTTCCCATTCATCACTCTCTTAAATATATATACTTTTTAAATTTTTGTAATATATATTCTAATTATCAATATTCGTTCGTTTCATCTCAAAACTAATGAATAAGGATAGAAATAGCTCAAGAATATTAATATAGATATAAGAAAGATGGAACTATAGATTGCCATAAAACTTATCTTGTTGAAGGACTAGACTATGCAGAAACATATAGCTTCGTGGTCAAACCTCCTATAATTGAGTTAATTCTTTCGCTAGCTACTAGCTCAAACTTGCCCCTACACCAATCAGTTGTCAAAAAATAGAAGTCAATCCAATCTCCAAGAAAATTATGTTGAGTCAAGGTAAATGCGCACGAGATCTACTCTCCAAAACCAACATGCTAAGAGCATGTCTCAATATAAACCATGCTATGGCCACTTTAACACAAGAATTATCCATTGACTATCAACCTACCAATAAAAAACAATATAAGAGTATTGTAGGATCCTTACAATACCTAACATTCATTCGACCGGACATTGTTCTTTTTTTGTTTATAATAGACTAGACATTGTTCATGTCGTGAATAAAGTGTGTAAACAACTTTAGAATTCAACAGTTAAAGACTTCAGAGCGCTATGAAACGGATCCATTGCTTCTCAAAAATTTTTTTTTTTACGTTCAACAATTTAGAGATATGGGATCGAACTTTCGACCTCAAAGGAAGGAGTACATGTCAATTACTTTGAATTATGCTCATTTTGACTAATGATTTGTTGATTATATTCCTATCACCATGCATGTAACCTTCTCTTAGAAAATTGAAAATGACACTAAGAATATTTTTATAAATGGTAACACATTAATTTATTTCCGTGCTTGGAAGAAATCTCCATTCTCTATTTAATTAAGTGTGCAATGACAACCATTATTTTCCTTCATCAAAAAGAAAAAAAAATACAACCATTATTTCTTTTCCACATATGAAATCCACCATTTTGGTAATGAAATTATCATCTCTTAATTAGCTAGCAAAATCATCTCTTCATTTCACACTCCGGTTAATAATAGTTTAAAACAATTTTTTTAAAAAATTGAAATAAAATTTAAAAAGTAATATTAGAAAAAAAAACCTCAAATATCAACACTATATATTTATAGTTAAAATCGTAAATTCAGAAAAAAAAAATTATTCATTTTACTCCTAGAAGTCACTTCTACTTTAAAACTAATTAAAAAAAAACAAAGTTAATATTGACTAACTTAAAATCATAAACAAACAATAGTCTTTTAGTGACGTTCCTGGTGACGAAAGTAATTTTATCACTGTAGGGTGACTTAAAATATTTGGTCGCTGAAAGTCATAATTTTTGTAGGGAATTAACTACACCCTAAAAATCAATTATATTTCTTAACTCTTTTATTTAGTTTATTTATTTTAATAAATTACATATTTTTATTTAGATAGGGGTGAATCTGACATTGGATTCATCTAAAATGGGTTGATGAATATTGTCATAGATACAATGTAATACGAAATAGTTAAGATGGTTTTGTCATTTGTGAATAGGAACACATTAACAGCATTAATTAATTTCCAAATTTTCTCTATATTTAAACAAAACGACCCATCAAAATGAAATTACGAAAGGAGAAAAAAAGAAAATAATCAGAATTATTTTCCGAGAGATGAAAAAAATGGCCAATTCCATCTCCATTCTACCTTTGGTCCTGTCACTTGTTCTGTTGAATACCGTGGTTCCGATGGGTGCACTTTCCCAAAACGACGCCGTTGCCATGATCTGCCCGAAAACCCGTAACCCAGGCTTCTGCACGTACGTGCTGAAATCCACGGGCAGCGCCACGGACCTGGTCGGTCTGGGCCGGTTCACGCTGAACCTGGCCCACGCGAGGGCCGGCGAGAGCCGCGCCCTGGCCCGGTCACTGGCGGCGAAGACGGCGGATCCCAAGCTCAGGGAGCGCTATGCCTCGTGCTCCGACAGCTACAACGACGCCGTTTCCAACATTGAGGACGCAACGAGGTACTTGGCCTCCGGTGACTATAACGGCGTCAATGTTGAGGCCTCGGCGGCGATGACAAATGCCGACGACTGTGAGGGAAACTTCACGGCGCCGCGGCCGGAGTCGGAGCTGACGAAGAACTCCAAGACTCTGGAAGATATATGTAGCATCATTTTGGTTATCTCCAATCTTCTCCTTGGCCGCGTTTGATTTATAAGTCTCGAAAATTTACAAACGTGGTTATGTAATAAATTAATAAACTCTTGTTTATTTCCCATCTACATTTCTTTTTTTCTTTTTCCCTTTGATTTCAATGGAGATTGGATTGGAATTTGTGAACTTTGATAGATGATGCTGATGAAGTAGATATTTTCATTCATTTTATGTTCTAATTTAGAACAGGTGGGGTTTGGTAATGTTTCTAATTTATATTTCTAACTTTATTTTTCTTGAAGTATAAGTATTAGCGTTTTTTTAAATTTTTCTTAAATTTTTTAATGAATTTTAGAAATATATATATATATTTATCTATTTGTCATGTTTTTCTTTTACGGGGAGAAAATGAAAGTGAAAAAAAAAATATTGCGAAAAAATAATAAAAATTTTAAATGTCTAATGAATAGTGGAGAAATATAAAATACGAGAAATAGATAAAAAAAAGTCAAACTTTAATTAAAGTGATACAAAATTAACAACAAAAACTAAATAGTACAGGTCTTGGTAATACAAATTATTTGTATAAGTAAAAGTGAGTATAAGTCAGCACTAATCAGTGTGTATGTATTTTCGAAGCTGCGAAATCTTCTCTTCTAGGTGAATTTTTCGTGAGTATATATAGTCAGACCAAAAATGATTTTTTTTTTGTTGGTTCAATTCGTTATAAAAAGAGATCGGAAAAAAAACCGATAACCGAACTGGTTATCGGTGGCGGCAGAGGCAGACCGTGAAAATGGGTTTTCGTTTTGCACTGTGAAGTTTGAGTTTACAAAATTGAGCACTGGGTAGTGGGTAGCTGGGCTTGAATGCCCAAATCTTCAAAATTGCCTATTTTTTCATCAATTCTATTTCTAAAGCTAATTAATTTAGATTCAGAGAGAGAAATTTCCTGCTCTGGCATGGAGATTTAGCTGGATCGCCATTGGAGCAAGATTAAGCTTCAAATCCACTTGTCTCCAGGAAGCCTCTCTTTGCGAAACTACTCTTGCCGGGGTGGATTTCGCCGTCCGTCGTTGCTTCCACCGCCGGCCAATCCAAGCCGGAGCTCCGTCTGCTAGACATTGATCACCATCCCGCTCCCTTTGAGCTTCCCCCTTCTGTTCTGATTTTTCGTCTGAATACACTGAGATCTCCTCCCTCTCGCACGCCGCCGCCCCCTTTCGGTATCAACGGCGGCTATCAGGTAACTGTTTTTGCGTTTCAGACGATCCTTGGCTCAGGCCGGCTATAAACAATAGAAATTTAGCTAATGGAGATGGTTTGCTTCTCATATTCAGGATCCAATACTGAACGCAAATGGCGTCATTTCTGCGACTGATTGCTTTGCTCTGTTTGCCAATCTTATTTGCTGTATCTGCCATTGGATCGGTATCTGAGGGATCAGAAGAAGATTTCTCCGAGGACTTGTTGCTCAAACCCTTGCCTGACCGCAAAGTGTTGGCTCATTTTCACTTCCAAAGCAGAGCTCCTTCGTCCCGCTCCAACTCCTATGGCCGCCACCACCACCTATTCCCTAAGGCCATTTCTCAGCTGGTACTTTGCTAGTTCGTTCTTTCGTTTTCTCTTTTCTCTGTGTTTGTGTGTGTTCTCAGCCCTCTTCTCCAAAGTCATTTTCAATTTAGTTCCTCGAAATTCTGAGGAAAGTGATGACCAACTTAGTTTTGAGATTTCTATCTTTTGTTCTGTTTTCCCATCTTTCGTGCTTATACATTTTTTAACTTGGCTGTCAAAACTTGGTCAAAACATGGTGTCGCGAGGCACAATTGACTTAATTATTTCTCTTTGCTTCTGCTCATAACAATCGGTTATTTGAAGTTTGCGATTTCACGAGGCTGGTAGCATATATAATATAACAATTTCTTTAAAATAGGATGTCATTTGTTTATTATGTTTTTACATTAATTATTAATCTAGCTCCTTGTAAGTGAGTTGAAGAACGGAGAACAAAATATTTATGAAAGTAGATTGGAGCTCATCAACGAGGGAGAATTATAGAAGGTTTTGAAATAATTACAGGTCCAAATAAATGATAGACCTTTGGAAGCGAAACCTTGAGAGTTCAGGCAAATTGATGCAAGGATGTCTATCTGGTAATAGTATTTGAAAAGGGGAAGATAATTTCCTAAAACAATTAACTTCTTTTTTTGGGCAATGGCAGTTAGTATTATTATTATTATATACATATTCTTTTTTTATCAAATTTGTTGCAAGAACCCTTTTTCCTCAATAATCTGGTTTCTGTAAAAGGATTGGGAGGATCTTAGTCATTTCTTCTTCAGATGTTTCCTATTCTATGCAATGCTGGCAGTTGCTCATTGATCTTTTTGGTTTGAATTGGTGTCAACCAGAGAAAAAATCACGCTTCTTTTTCTTTTTCCTTTTCATCTCCTTAGAATTCATACTGGTATCATATAATTACTTAGTTCAGGTACCATAGGATTAAGAATATGAACAGGCTCACTCATGATTGAGTGTGCATTTTTTCCAAGCTCGGGGCAGAACACATTGGCCCAATCCTGTCAGGGGTCTATGTTGGTTTCTATGCTAAGAGATTGGTTCTTGTTGAATCTATAGTTGTCATGTTTCAAAATGGAATGACCTTTATAAGCTCTTTTGTAATTTACCTCTTTGTTGAACAATTCAATTAAAGGATCTTTTTTGTTTCTTTTTACCTCCACTGGTTTCATTGATGATGTTTCATCCCCTAATTTCTTTTGGTTTTTGCATTAGCTATTCATATTAATACAGTTTTTCTTTCTTATAAAAGAAAAAACTTGATGAACTTGCCTATCTCTTTGCATGAGGAAACCATATTTTTAGTATCCATCTGATTGCTCTCGCCGTCTTACTTTCCATCAACTATTTTTTTCCTTCACATCAATAAGATTCTGAACTATAATAAGTCAAATGGGTGTAATTATTCTAGCGGTAATGCATGGATTCCTGTCAACCCTAGTAGATTAGTAAGTCAGATGAGCTCTGTTGGAACATTAAAATATTAAATTGCTTGTACAGGTTTATAAATATCGAATTAAGGAAATGGAGCTGTCTTTCACGCAAGGTCGTTGGCGCTATGATCGTTGGGGTGGATTTGATTCGATATCAAGCAGCAATGCAAAGCCTTCGGGAGTTGAGTTGTGGGCTGTCTTTGATGTTCCCTCAAATGACGTTGATGCGTCTTGGAAAAATTTGACCCATTCACTTTCAGGTCTTTTTTGTGCTTCAATCAACTTCCTGGAGTCTTCAACTTCTTATTCTGCGCCTAAATGGGGCTTTCATTCTGCTTCTGAGAATATGAGATATGGTACATTACCACGTGAGGCTGTCTGCACAGAGAACCTAACACCATGGTTAAAGCTTCTTCCTTGTCGTGACAAATCAGGGCTTTCAGTATTGATGGATCGACCATCTATCTACAAAGGATTTTATCATTCTCAGAGGTTGCATTTGCGGTCATCTGAATTTGATTCTAATGCTGTGGATTCAGCCATTGTACTTGACCAAACACTCACAGTTGTTCTTCAGCCTCACAGTCATAGAGGTACTTTTAGTCCTTCAACTGCTACAAGATTACAACCAAGCTGGTCTCTTAGCTCAATTTTTGGTAGGAAAGTCACTGGAAGATGTGCTCTTGCCAAGTCTAGTAATGTTTACATTCATCTTGATAGAGGTCTCATGGCGGAACTGCAAGGAATGCTTAGGGAACAAGAGATCTTAGCAATTACAAGATCTAGCTCTGAAGGTTTTAGAAGCAACCCTGCTTTTGAGTTGTCTGCTAATCCTGACAGAGTACATATGGAGATAAATAGTAGAGATGACAAGCCCTCATCGATAATTTACATGTTTATGGTGGAGGAGAAGTACGATGACTCTGAACCTCTTGACTTGAGATTCACATGGAAAATTTCTGTAGTTTGGTCTATTCCACAAGCACCATTACATGTGACAAGGTTTTTACTGGGTAGTGGGAATGAAAGGGGTGCTATTGCTTTACAGTTAAAATCTACAAAACCTAGTGACAGGTTGATGCCTGATACTGTGATCACAGACAGCTGTAGCTTGCTGGTTAAAGTTTTCCAAGTTGTTCCTTGGTATATCAAGGTGTATTATCATACTCTTCAAGTATTTATTGACGACCAACCAAATGCAATTACAAATGTTGTTGAGAAAATGCAAGTTTCACCTTCTAAAGATAAGGTTTCACCAGGGGTGATGGAGGTGCTCCTGAAATTTCCTTGTGGCTTGAAATCAGCTGCTCTAACCATAGAATTTGATAAGGTATGTTTCATTATTTTCCCTCACTAGTTTGCCAAGGTGTTGCTAATATTTTTTCTTGCTTTTATCTTAAAGGATGTTTGAAAGACCCAAAACGTAGGAAATATGTTACCCTACAATGAGTAGGGTAGGTGTCATTAGACAAACATTGGATTGGACTCTAGCACGTTCTGGACACGACATGTCCCAGATATGTGATTTGGAGTGCCCATTTTTTGTTTATTGATGACTCTTTTTAAAGAAACCTGAACGGGCTGGAAAAAATTGGAGTATATTTTCAAGATTTGTGGAAGTTGTCTTTTCTTTCTTTTATTTATTTATTTATTAATTATTAAATTTGATGGACATGAAAGACATTTTAGACACACGTAGGATGCTAGGATGCATGGAGCATATGTTTTGTAGAAAAAAATGAAGAAATATGTTTAACAAAATATATAATTTTTCATTCTCAAATCTCAACTATGAAACATATAAATAAAACATGAAAATATTTTTTGTTTCTCTCTCTACTGGTACTCTGTTTCTCTCTCCTCTAAGAAACTGCAGAGGCGAGGAAGAAGAAGAAGCACAAATTATAAAACATGAAAATATATAGAAGCTAAACTAAAAGGGAATAAAACAGAAATTTCATTTAATAAAATTCAACGAAGTGCTGTTTAAATGATGTTTGGGATAAAAGTTTCTTTTATTTGAACGACTCATGTATTTTTTAGAACACTCTAACCTTACTTTATCGTTGGAGAATGTTATGTTGTGATAGAAATAAAATATACTTTGTAATATTTAAATTTTCTTAAAATTTGATTGATGATAACACAGATACATGTCCTTAAATTTTTAAACAGAAATACTTCTAAAAAGATTTTATTGAACACAACTGGTGCCTTGCCTAATCTTGTAGAAAACAATGTGTCGTTCTGCCCATGTACCATGTCGTGTCGTGCTTATATTCCTGCATCCACATGTACAAACGTGTTAGGTTGTTATTGAAATTTATAATAATTGTACCACTATGCCATTCATTCTTTACCTGTGGCCATGCTCTGTAATCTTGGCTGCTTACAGTGAAATCATGTATATCTTGTTATTTTTTGTTTTTTAACCAGAAACAAATTTTCATTGATACGTGAAAAGGAAAAATGTTCAAGATACATACCCATATAAGGGTTAAAAAAAGAAGAAAGTGAAGAAGAGAAAAATAACTAAAAAAATTAGCGCAACAAGAGCAATACAAGCTCATAGAAGATAAAAAGCATTCTAAACCAAAACTCAGAAAACTGCTTACTATAAAGCTAGGAAAACCTTCCATAAAACTAGAAGCAAAGGCCAAACTCCAAAAAGGAACCTTTCATCCACCTTAAGGCCATGTGATTCCACCTAGCAATCCAAATAAAACTAAATATGCTTTACCAGTTACTTTCTTGTTCATAATTGGTATAAATGAATAGCTTCAATTTTAAACCTAATTTAAAAAATTAAACTTTTTAGTTTAGTAATAACTTAACATATTGGGACATTGTATTTAAGCTGAATCTCGTGTATTCATTTTTCATATTTATACTAAAATCCATATGTTGGTTTCCATTAGTCCAAACTCACATGGGGGAGGGTACGAAGGATATTTATATCAGTGCTTAGGGCTTAATATAATTCTAATCGTGAAGTTTGATTTTGGGATCTTCATATCATAAATCAAGATTCAAAATTGAATGCTTGATTTTAGGTTTTTTTTTTCATATTTATACTAAAAAGTCAAATTTAACCAAGAACTACTAAACAAATAGCCAAGCATTCAAGAACCTAAAATCAAGATCCAAACCTGAGTGCTTGGGTATTTGTTTAGTAGTTAATGACTAAATTAGAATTCTAGTCCTTGTACTTGTCCACTTTTGTCCTTGTGTTTTCTTTCGTTAGTTAAATTATAAATTTATTCTCTTTGTTTTAAGCATTGTGGCTATAGTTAGAATGTTTTGGTGACATTTCATAAGAGAAGATTTGGATAAGGTGTGATCTGGTAGTCTTATAACTAGATAGATACAATTAGACTAGTTCTTCTTCCACTGTTAGGCTTCTCATGAAACCATCTTACAAAATTAGTCCCCACCAATACCAATTGACGTTGCATTATTCATGAAGATTTAATCAATCTTTTATACACCCTCCATAACTAGGTACCAGTTCGGCCTTTCCATGCTTCTTAGTATTCCATTTCTCAAATTTCAAATGAAAAATATTATCCATGCTATCAATTGGTGTAGATTGTCACCTCATGTTTATGCTACATATAAAGTTTCTGAGATTGCCACCCAATCATCATGGAAATGGGTCCTGTAGTACCTAGAACATCTCCAAATCTAGCTTCACTACTTCCTTATCTTTTTTAATACCAGATTCCCTCTTCTTAATGCCTCCCTTTCTTTCTGGAATAGCTTCCTTACTTCCCTGCACCTGTTACCACATCTGCGTAGGAGTGCTTTCTCCCCTGCACCTCCTTAGCTACCTCTACAAATGATTTCTCTTCACAGTATTAGCTTCTTCCTTTAAGGATTTTGTTCCACAATCCACACTTCTCTCAAGCCTTTTCTTGGCTTCCTCTAAGCCTGGGCAAGCAAACGTCACCCTTTAACTTACTGTTGAAATTCTCCTCAAGATTTCCCAAAAGACCATCCAACCTCTTTTTGAAATACGTACAGGAACAACTATGAAGGTTCTGACTCCTACATTAGACGGTAAAATGATTTCTATACTCCATCCATGTTGGTTAACGTTCACCTTTTTCTGCACTCAGCAAGTGGCTCTACGTTATCAATAGTTTGAAAAAGCTGACAGTCAGGGGGCAATGAAGAAGCTCAACCATAGCTTGCTCTAATCAGTGCACTTTGATTCCACTGCAAATTGATCTGAAAATACAACCTTTGTCTCTTTTCTACCAGTATAAAAGCACCCTGAGCAAAATGGAGAAAAAGAACTTATTTTCTACACTGCAACTATTATTGTCCATACTTACCTGATACTGCAAGGTTTCTTACCAAAAAAAAAAAAAAAAGATGATCTTAAACTAACATAGTCCATACTGAGTCTTATAACTACACTCCTCGTAAACCCTTTTTTAGTATTTTGTAAGTTCTATATCATAGACGACAAGTCACAAGACCTGGAGAAAGGATCTGAAAGTAGTCACCTCAAGAGTCGGTGAATGATTTCATTTTTAGTTTTACATAGGATTGTATTTATTTACTCACAATTTCTTTGTTATAATTTTCACCTTTCTTAAAGAGAGGGTTGAATTATTAGCTTTTTTTTTTTAAAAAAGAAATGCAAGTTTTTAAGAACTACTTATTTTTAGTTTTTAAAATTTGGCTTACATTTTGGAAACTTTTTAAAAAGTAGATAACAAAACAAACAAACTCTCGAAGGTGGGAAGTAAGTGTTCATTTTTTAAAACCAAAAATTGAAAACCAAATGATTATCAAACTAGGCTTTTGTTTCTGACTTCTGTTTTTTCTTCTCATATCTCTCATTGGTTTTGGATAATGATTTCTTACGTCACTTCAGCTTTGAACTTATCCACTATTTATAAATTGAATATGGAAGGCATTTTTGCCTATATTTATTTAGATTCCCAGTTCTTATAAAATCGTTGATTGTTCTTGAAGCATCTTGTTTTGCCATTTTGTACTTCGTCTTTTGTTCGGCTTAGAATCATCTTTTGTTTGTTCAGATTTTCCTTTTTGTTGGAAAGGAAGGCCCGAGATATTTTTGATTAATTATCTCCTTTTTTTTCCCTAATGTCTTTTTAGGGTTTTCTGCACATTGATGAATACCCACCAGATGCTAATCAGGGATTGGACATTCCATCAGCTGTAATAACTTTTCCTGATTTTCACGCAAGCACGCAGTTAACTGAAAATAATTCTTCAAAATCACCAATCCTGTTGAAATTGCAGGTGATTTTTCCTGTTGCATCTCGGTTTCTAGTGTTCGGAAATTTGGATTTATACAATTTATTTGATCGGTAATTCCAGTTATTTATCTTGCATTCATAATGCAGGATCAGAGTCCCATTCTGTCTTACACAGAAGTATTGCTTGTGCCTTTGACCACTCCTGATTTTAGCATGCCTTACAACGTGATCACCATCACGTGCACAGTGCTCGCTTTGTATTTTGGATCTTTGCTCAATGTCCTTCGAAGGCGTGTCGGTGAGGAGGAAAGATTTCTGAAGAGCAAAGGTAACACCAAACTTCTGTAGTCTAGTGTCGTTTTTCATTTTCCAGCTTATGGAATTGGTCATTATGAATTCTAGGCCCCTAACAACCAAAGACAGACAAAAGTCTACGTCAATAAACAATCTTCAAAAACTATGGAAATCAAGAAACTTTAAAAAATTATCTAACTCTCTGACTTACGAAAACATCAACGGAAATATTGAAATTTCAATGTAACGAGATATTGAAATTTTTGTAGATATAACTCTCTTCGCACCCCCTCATCTCATTCCCTCCATTGTCCAGCTTGTGATTTGTACTTCTTGCACTCTATTTTTGGCAGCGTCGAAAAAGTTACAGATTTCGCAGATTGCATCAAAGTTGTTGGCCAAACTTAGAGGAAGACATTGGGAACCCTCTGAGCCTGAGGCACAATCATCTTCTTCATCTTTCTTTAACTCAAAGCTGGTGTTTAAAGTGATTCTAGTGGGTGGACTTGCTGCTGCTTGGCAATATTATTTTGGATGAGGTATTTAAGAAACCAAGTGCTAGTGTTGAATGTAATGTACCATAGTGTTGTCAAATAGATTTTTGTTCATGTACATTGTGATTTCTTTTCTAACCATACCCTAATTTTGCTGAAAGGGTAGATTTAGATTTACAAACTAGACTGGATTTAGGTCATTTCTTTTCCCAAGAATATGGCATTTTCAAAATACGAAGTGTAGGACATGTTTTGTATTTATTGGCTCTATTTGTTCTTTAGAGAGAGGAGAAATAGATGTTCTCATTGTTGATATCTGGTGATTTTTTTCAGTGGTTCTACAGATTGAAAATAGGCTAAATATATCATTTGCATGTGATTTATTTTACAATTTTGACTCTAATTTTCTAAAGTTAAGGCTATATCTTGGGTAAAAAATCAATTTTTATTATGAACTTTCAATTTTATCGCATTACGTTTTAAACTTATTTCAATCTTTACCTCAAACTTGAAAAGTTCTTGCAATTTGTGCCTTTTAATACGTTCTTTTTTAAGACTTGGCAAAAAAAAAAATCTCATATGCGTTCAATAAAATATAAAACATGTCTAATACAAAACTAATATGACTTAATGGAAAAATGACATTTATTTCAGAAAAAAAAAAGAGAGAGAGAAGTGACATTGCAACTCCTTTTTTCTTTGTTCAAATTTGTGAATTTTGGTAGAGTTCTTCCGTGGTTGGTTTTATTGACACTAGGGAGTTTTTAGAGATTTTTAAATTAGTTATTGTTGAAATTAGAAAATTTTAAATAAGGTTAAAATTTCGTAGGTCTAACATTTTTAAAAATATCTTTGATCGATAATTCCATTGACAACAACATTTTATTGACAGTTTCATTGACATTCCCATGAAATTGAGACATCGATACTTTTGTCGACACCTTTACTAAGTTGAGGGATATGAGGAGTCCGACTTCAAACTAACCACAAAGCTCCAAACAATAAACAAGTAAAGATGCAACTCATGCTAAGAGTTCACAATGAAAGATCATTTGGGAGAAGAAAGAGAACAAAAACACAATTTGGCACATCATGATTTATTTATGTATGAGAACGCTGAGGCCACTTTCTAATTCACATTTACAAATCTCAACAATCAAACGAAGATACCAACAAAAGGAGGAGAGAGAGGAAAAAAATTTATGAAGGAGGGGGGGCGGGCATTGGCTTGGGAGCCCATATATATGTATTCATCTAGTTCTCTTGCAGAAAGCAGAAACAAGAGTTTCATCTTCTCTCATCCTTTTCATATTCTTACTATTGTAGCTACACGAATATCCCATGCGCGGAACGACATTGGCTGCATCGCTTAGTCCTTGGACTGTGTCTGATAATTCGTCTAAACCTGCATCGTATTACGATAATGAACCAGTTCAAGTGTCAAGAAGACAAAAAGAGATGACACTTATTAGCAATATATAGAAAAGCCGCCATAAACACTCAAGTAATAGGCATGGGAATGGAAGAAGGAATGCCAAATGGATTTGCTAACTATTGCCAAACTGAACAAACATCCTATATTTATATCATAAATAGGGTAGAAGGGTTTTCAGCCATTATTGAGATTATTTATTTTAGTTCTTTTTGAAAGAGAGACATTTTTCAGTGGATTAAATCACAATTTTAGTTTTTGACCTCAATCACAAGTTTAGTTTCTGAACTTTCAAAGTTGTTTCAGAAGTTGAATTTCTGAACTTTCAAAGCTGTTTCAGAAGTTGAGTTTCTGAACTTTCAAAGCTGTGTCAGTCTTGAACTTTAAAAATTCATAATTTTTGTGGGTTGATTCCATCACAGTGTTAACATTTGTTGACTTTTTGCACCATTAGAGAATTTTACATCCTCCTAAACAAGATTTTTTTTAGAAAGAACTATGGGTTAAATTTACAAGTTTAGTCACTGTGGGTCCTCGTTTGTCTAATAAAGTCCTGGATGTATTTGACATTTTTTAAAATTCACATACCTCTATTAACAGTAACACAATATTAAAATTTTAGAGACCTATTAGACATGAAATTTTATGATTAGGATCTTATTCAATTTTGTGTCTAATGCATCGAATTTTAAAAACATCAAATAGAGCACTGACTTATTAGACTCAAAATTGAAAGTTGAAAGACTTATTAGACATTATAAAGTTCAGAGACCTATTAGATACAAATTGAAAATTTAGATACCTATTAGACACAACTCTTAAAGTTCACAGACGACACAACTCTTAGAGTTTACGACTAAACTTGTAAGTTAACCAAAAACATAACTATCTTTCCATGAGCTCAGGACAGAATTTCAAATTTTCAAAGGCATGGAAACTTGATGGGAGAGACGAGTTTCGGTGTAATATTATCTAGACTAGTTTCGTCCTCATTATCAAGAGATCACATTAAAATAAGCTCAGCCCATGTGCCCTCTATGTGAGCTATATACTAAAAGAACCACGTAACTTAGAGTAGAAGTATTAATTTAGTACCTGATTTAGTTTCGTTTAACTTTAACTTCTTGAGTAAGATGACTTCTTCCATGCACTGTTTTCTTTTATAACCATTGGGACTACACTTGAATACTGAAGAATCCACATGTTTGCTTCCTGTATAAGATGATCAAGCACAAGTCAATTCCACAAACCTGTTCACACAGCTAAACTCTTTTATCCATTCTACAGAGTTCTTAATCCTTGTTGATCCGGTTAAATTATGAATTTAGATTTTTAAAAGTTTCAATTACATCCCTAACTTCAGATTATTTTCCATATGGTCATTATGGCCTATACCATTAACGGAACATTAACCTGACATAACTAAATATAGCAAACAACTACATAGATAATAGATATCGTCTAAATTTAGATACGTAATTGATACTTTTTAAAGTTCAAGGACTGAATTGACACATTGCTCAAAGTTTTGAGACATCTGTAATTTAGAACTCTTGTATCTTGACTTAATAATTTGGTGACAGATCCTTCAATACTGAAAATTCGATCCATTTGTTAAGCATCAGCCTTCAACAACAACTCATATTTCAAGAATTCTAGCAGTCTATCTCATATTTCAAGTCAAAATTAAACACAGATCATTCCATCCAATTTTGTTCCAACGAGTACTAAAGTTGTTACCAAAGTCCCTGAATTTCAACTTTTTGTTCTTCACCAGGTTTCCTCCTAGTGTTTGCATTTCAGCATTCAGATTAGCATCTTCCTCATCAGCTTCACAACAACTTCCACTTACAATTTCCTGAGAGCCACGAGCTCCTGCAAAAAAAAACAACTCACAAGACAGCCTAATTAACAAATTAGTTGGAAAACCAGTAGCTAATTTGAACCAAACAGAACACAAAAACCCTAGAATCCTAGACTACGACTGAAGCAGCAAAATCCATGGGAAGAAGGAAGAGAACTGACTCTTGAGGCCAATTTTGGAGAGCTTTCCATCGACAACAAGAGGGTCCTCATCGGAGTTGCCAACAGGCAGGCGTTTAGCGGAGAAGAAAGAGAGAAGGGATTTCCATGTGACGGAGGAGAGGAGATCGGGACCTCGGCTGAGGAAGTGGCCGTTGAGCTTGACGGTGGAGGGTTGGAGGCCGAAGGCGGTGGCTATGGCGCCGATATCGATGCGGTGGCCGTCGGATGCGAGGAATGGGGCAATGGCGGAGAGTGAAGGGCAAGACAGTTTGATGATTCTGGGTTTGTGGGCTGTGGCTTCCATCTCCATGGCCATGAGAAGCGAATGGTCATTTTCTTGGTAATGGCGATGGCGGACGCCACAGACAGTGTTGCGGATTTTGCTTCCAACGGTCTCTGGAATTGTCTCGCACTCTCGGTTTTGCCCCTTACTTTGTGGAGGGATACAATAAAACCATGTTCTTTTATTTTAGGGGAAAATTTTACGGTAAAATACATTCGGTCCCACCAAAGTTTTAAATATCGATGTCGAGATCTTAATTTGATGTAAACGTAAATATTAGAGATGTTTATGAGTTGGATTGAGTCCGGTTATTAATTTATTAAACTCAAACATCGCTTATTAAATAAATTCAACCCAACCCAACTGTGAAATATTTAGGTTGGGTTGGTTCGGGTTATTCAGGTCACTTATTCAAAATATTGTATAAAAGAAAAATGTAAAGTACGATTTAAAAGTTGATGCAGAATAAACAATCTGTAAATAATAGTAATTAAATTTTTTTTAGGAGGAATCCATAAATAATTATTGAATGAAATAAAATTAAAATTAAAATATATAATTTTTTTTTGTGAGTAAAAGAAATAGCCTTAAATTTAATAATAATTCCGGGTCAGTCGTGCAACCCAAACTTAGTTTAGGTGAACCCTTGAATTGACCAAACCTATAGAATTTTCATTTATTTGAACCCAACTCAACTCAGTTGATCCGTTTTTTCACACTTTTTAAATGAATTTAAAATGTTTAATATTAATATTATGTCTATATTAGTGATATTTTTGTAATATTTTCATATTTTGTTGATTTTTTTGGCATACTATGAAACGTTGATTTATTCCTCATGTTGATGTCGAACCCATCTTTACATGAAATTTCGACATATCAATAAAAATTTAATACCCTAGTTTAGATTAGGTTTCTATTTGGTACTTGAATTTTAAAAAACCATAATTTTTTATTATTGAAATTTACGTTTAATTGAAGTTTCAAAAGTGAGTTGTTTGGTCTTCTGTAGTTTGAATTTTGTTACGGGAGATATAAAGTTGAACTTGACAAACAAGCTACCAAGTAAGGAATGAATTCAGAAGGGGTCCAAGTAAGAAAAAAGGAGAAAGGAAGCCCAAAAGCCCAACAGACCAATAGAAGAATAAGGTTCAGTCCATCAAGGTTTGATGTCTGGTCAACCGAAATCATAACTACCAAGTCTCGGCCATCGATCGTCCAACGTCCTACAAAGATGGCCCCGTACCCATCTTGACTTGATAAAGTTCTATAATGGGTTGAGGACCTTTTTCATCCAACATCCGACCCACGGCAATGTCTACATCAAAAGCCTAGAAAGTTAGGTTTATTGCGAGTACAAGAATCCAACCCTTATAAATAGAGGGAAAAATTAAACCATAAAGGTGCACAAAAACCTACTTTTAAACTACGCATTTTTCAGCCTCCGATTTTAACTTAAGCATCAGAGCGTATGTGGCTAGCATGACACCGGTGTTCAGTCTTCTTTGTTTTGCAAGTCAACATTGAGTTCCTATGGTGTGGTATTTGGTGAACCAATCGAACCAAATTTATGCATCAATATGTGGCGCCGTTTGTGGGAATTGACTAAAGTCCAAAGCGAAACGGTTAACGATCAGCATGAATACTAGAGAAAGCATCAACATGAAGAGATGGGGACTCAAATGATGATTGACATCCAAGGAGGAAGGTGAGCCAAGAATCGGTCTTAACCGCTGAAGTTCTGGACGAAACTAGTAGACCAATTTTAAACTAGGAAGAAAACATACCGGGGAACAAGAGCGACAATTCGACTAGTTAGCTCCTCTAGCAGAGAGAGTTAAAAGAATGTATCAAAACTTATCTCTTAGTTTGAATAGACTACAACAACAGGATACAAGACAACCCACATTAGTTTGAGATTCATTGGAAGATAAGGCCTCGTGGTGGACGATATTGCTGAATCCACGGCTAACACGCCAAATCCAAGTAAGTTAAAGATGAGTGGAAATGACAAGTCATAGACTAGAGATGAAATCTTTAGTCGACTGGGTTCGAGAAGTGAGCAATGACGGAGGTCTACGATGCACATCAAAAATAGGAGCGACAAGATGGATGACAAGACCTCAAGGAGATCCTCGTTAACAAACCAGAAAGGTCGCAGCCAAACAAACTTGAGGAGGGAGACAAGTCCAGGATATGTCTGAAAATGAGGAAGACAAAAATACTTTTGAAGTATTTTCAAAAATTTACAATCTTATTTTTAGTTCAACAAGAGAGCGAGGGATCGCCCTATTTTTCCTTTTTTTTTTTTTAAGTTCAAGCGAGATATAAACATTTAAATTCAAAATGGAATATATTTTAATAATAATAAGTAAATGAATTAGATTTGATGAGTTGACCCATTGATGATAAATTATTTATTATTCTTATTCTTATTCTTATAACAACAGGTCAACAAATGCAAACCAACCAATACCAAATAATTAATTAGTTTGCATAATTTAATATATTGATATAATCTGTAACATCCCAATTATATCAAACCCATTAACCAAATTCTTCCAAAACCACATAAACTTTTTAATTTTCTTAGGTAAATTCCCTTTTAAATATCCCACCCATCATGTGTTATGTAGCTCTACAACTCCCAACTACCCAACTTCCCACACAAAATAAATAAATATTTATTTCATTCAAATTATTTATTGGTTAATTTATTTATTTTTCTACCACCACCAATAATTTGCCATATATACTTATGGTGTGGTGCATGTTGGTTTTGTCTTTATGATGGAACTTTTGTTTTATTTTGTGGGGTTCCACAAACTTGTACTATATGGTAAATTCCAATCTAGATAACCAATCCCTTCTTAGTTACATTAAAACAAACAAACAAATATATATATATATATATATGCAAATAATAAATAAATAATTACCTTGCTTGACAAACAATTTTTGTTGTGAAAAAGAAAAAGAAAATTTCTACGGGTTAAAAAAGTTGAAAAGAAAAATTATGCCCTTTTGTTTTGTCACATCACATCACGTGGAGAGTTTGCTTTGTGAAAACTTTATCGGCGGTTTGGTTAATGTAATTTTAAAATATTCATTTTAGTTTCTATACTTTCAACTTTTGTTAGTCTTTATATTTTCAATCATTTTTTCAGTCTTGTTCTCCTACAAAGTGTAATTTTGATTTTTCCTTGCAAAATTTTATACACAATGGAAATTTTTAATACAAATTTATGACTATATTTTAATAAATTTAGTGAGTAGAGTGTCATGCTGAAATTCTGATGGAGGTAAATTAAGTGAAAGTGAAAATGAGGAAACCAAAATTGTCATTTTTTAAAAGTACAGAGACCAAGATGAACAATTCGAAAGTACGGAGACTAAAAATGAACAAAAATTGAAAGTATAAGAATCAAAATGAAGGTTTTACATGAACTAAAATAAACCAAAATCGAAAATACTTGAACCAAAATATTATTTTAACATATCTCATATTTAATCCACATCTTTTCCCAAGTTCATTTCTCTCGAAAATTATTGTGATGGATTATTGTGATTTTTTCATCATAATTACTTAATAAATGCTATTAAATAATTTTTCAAATATATATTATTAAATGAATAATTCTTTTACATCAAACATAAATGATTTAAAATTATTTTTAATTATACAAAAATCATATTAAAAAAAGTGTGTAACCAGACATTAAAATAATTAAATTATATGAAAAACAATTTTACTAAATCACTTTATCATTAAATTTTTTTTGCACATTCCTAAAATTATTTCTAACTATGTTCTTAATTGAGTGAACCAATTTAAACGAAATAAATTTTAAACTTTGAATTAATTGTGAAATTAATATTCTTAATTAAAAATATTGTTTTAAAAAAGTTATCCACTGAGCTTACAGTGAATGGTTTTTTGACGTCTGAGTTGAGTATATAGTTGCTAAAGTTGGACACATTTTCTGGTTAAAATATTATATTTGGCCTATTTAGTTATCCTCAAATTTTAATATATAATAATTTAGTTATGGTTGAGTTCCGAATCCGAAAATAATTAAGCTTGGACCTACTTAATGAAAATTATCAATATATAATATTTGGTCTATCTACTTAATAAACTTGGGCACGTTTTTACCTACTTAATTTTGTGGTTATGTTTGAATATTTTTATGTGTTTTTTTATACAACAGGTGAGGTGGGAAATCGAACTTACAACTTTGTGGTTGAAGATATATGTCAATTACCGCTAAGCTATACTCACTTTGATGGTATTTTTATGGTTGAATTAACCGTTTCTGTAGTTTAATTTTGAACGTTGCGTTCGTCGAGTTTTGCATAGTTCTTTTTTCGTTGTTTTTTGTTTGAGAAAAAAGTTTTACATTATTTTGTTGACTAGTCTAATTTTTTTAATAGCTTTGATGAGAATGTATTTTTGTTCATTTTTTCTAATACTTATTCTACTAATTTTATGATACAAAAATGGTTGATTCACCGCTCCTGTCAACGTCGAATTTATGAATATTTTAAGATGGGATGAAAATGTTAACTTTTGGTAAAAATTTAATACCAAGTTGTATTCTTTAAGTTTTTTTTTTCCTAAAAAAATAAAAATAATAAAATAATAATAAGCGTTGCATTCTATACTTCAAGAAACAATAATGATAATAATAAGTGTTGTATTCTAGATAGATGTAATCAATAACTAATTTATTGTAATATTTATTTATCACATCAAGAACTTTCTTTGTAATAAATAAAGGGATTTCGAGAATTCAATTTTTTTGTACCTTTTTACTGAATCATAAATTCCTTAAATTTTACTATTTAAGAATTTTATGTAAAATTAGAAATTTATTTTTCTCAAGAAACGACCTCAAAATATCACTTTTTCTAATTCTCTTTCTTTTCCAAACCTACCCATTAAAAAAATTGAGTGAAATTAAATTTTTTTTATTCTTACACAAGTCAAAATGTTACTAGAGTTAAATTGTAGGAACTAAAAATAAATTTTAAATATGAATTAATATTTTTTCCTTCTAATTAATAGGAATCAATAAATATATTTTTTCACACAATTTTTTTTTTAAAATGAAAGAAATTGGTTATGGTATATCTTTGTTAATATTTCCTGAAATAATG